TATATATATATATATATATATATATATAGCCCCTATTTGGTGAGGATTAGAAATCCCGTGACTTACATAGATATATTATATTCACATATTAAAGTAAGTTCGATTTTACTCGAGAAATAATATAAGATAAATTCAATTGGCAACAAAATGAAATAATGTCATAATTCAATACGCAAAGTTAATATGGATAATCGTAAGTCATAATACTTAAAATCATCCAAGTTTTCTCGAGTTTAAAATATTGATCGACTCTTGACTTAATTTTAGCTTAAAAATCAAATAAAGTTAAAATTATTAAGGGTAATTAGCATTAAAAGTCTCTATCTTTCATTTTTATCATATAAACATCCATATCTTCCAATTTTTGGCATTGGATAATAGATGGTGAGATTCATTTACTTGTTCTGGCTTCTAATACTTGGACTTGGGGGGAATTTGAGGGTGTATTGTCTTGTTCTTGAGGTGGGTTCATTGTGTAATTCGAATTTCCATTCCCTTTTCCCCTGAGACGGGGTTTAGGTTGGGGAAGGGAGGTACGTGTGGATGGCATGAGCTGTAGGCCAAGATGACATTGGAGACTTGGGCTGCTCATGGGATGTGGGTAGAAAATGAGATAATTGTGGAAAGACGAGAATACCTTTCCTATGGATAAGAATAGTGTTTATGATTCACTTAACAAAACTTTTGGATGGAAATAACATTTTACACAATAAAAGGTGGCATAAAAGGTGAAAATGCAAAAAAGTAAAAAATATGAACATTTTGGATGATTAAAACGAAAAGTAAGAATATTTTGCATAACGATAATATATAATATATACACACAAAATGGTTGGCTTTCCTATTCCCCGGTGTCCTCAATTGTTGAATTGTTATGCTAATGGCACATTTTTCCAAGAGAAACCGTACATTGATTCTCATTCTCTCTATATTATAAAATTATCACACAATAATAATCTATATAGAGTGGGAAAACACTTTGGCTTTTTACTCATACCCCTATCTCTCTCCCCCTCTCTTTCAGTTACCCATAATTCAGTTCCCTCTCTCTCTCTCTCTCTCTCTCTCTCACACACACATACACACTAATACTTTATTTTCTTTATCAGCAGCTGCATTTTCAGGGAGAAGTTGAATTTTTACAAACAAAAACAGAGAAATGAAGGTATTAATTATTGGAATTCTTTCCTTTTTTTGTTCTGATTCTTTATGGGTTCAATTTTACTGGTTTAGCTTATTAAAAATATTTATTTTTCTTTAGAATCTAAACAATACTTTGAATCCAAGATCATGATTTCTTTAGTTTATTTGATTCCTTCTAAAATTTAATCTTTTGGTAGGTCCATTTGTGTGGTTCTCTTTGTAGGGGTCTGATGTTTTCCAAATGATTTCTTTACTCAAAATAGAATGAAAAAGAAAAAGAAAAAGAAAAAAGAAGGCTTTTCAGATTGATCCTTGTGTTGTTATGAATATCGCTCTTTTCCTTGTCTTAAGTGCTTATTTTTAACATCCTTTACTTGAATATTGAGAAGAATGTTTGGTTCTGAGTAATATAATTTTCTTGAATTCTCACAATTTCTTGATTGTTTTGCAGAAATTTGTATTGAATTTGGAGTTGCAGGATGTAGAAGATAAGCGAAGGGCCTTGAAGACAGTAACTGTTCTCTCTGGTATGATGCCAAGCTATAGAAATCTTTTAATTTTCAGATTCAGTTCAAATATCTACTCTGTTATTGCAAAAGTTGATTTTTACTGATTACACATAATTCTGTTCATATGTTTGTTGGTTAGAATACATACATATAATCTTGTCTGCGTGCGTGTATGTTAATACGCGTACATATGTTTGTATACGATTGTTGTTAATGAATATGTATGTATCTATGTGTTATGTATACAGGCATTGAGTAATTCAAGTATATAGAGTATCACATGTGTCTAGATGATGAACGATTGATCAATAAGGAGAGCCAAAGACGAGAATTGCGAATAGCATGAGACTATGCTATACTGCGAGATGTAAAATTGTCTACTAACATTAATCCTAGTGATGAATGGATCGTTTTCGAATTAACTTGCTGTAGGCATTACTTTTGCTCTTGCACTATGGTAAACATATAAAATGGTAACTTTAAGTTAAAAGAAAACGGTTTCTTCTTATTATGGTCTGTGGTTGGAGTTCATGTACGGTCACAGCTGTTTCCTATGGTTACCATGGAAATAGAAGAAGATGTTTGTAACGCATCCTGAAATTAATGAAGTTAGTTGTGTTCCATTGTCATTATCGTTTGGTATCAGATTAAATGAATGAGGACCTATCCCATCCAGGTTTTTAAATTTTTAATATCCGGTTTTAGGCTATAACTGGACCAGTTCCTGGGTTTCGTCCTGTATTAAAAAACACTTGATGCTACAGGTACGGTTGTGGTGCAACTTCAACTTCTAGGCCTTCCCGAGTTTCATACCCTTTGATATTTGCAAGAATGGATGCAATGTGGAACAGGGCAACTGCGAAACCAAGCTGAACACATGAAATTAGGCCATTGATCTAGTTGGTTCTTTGCTCGAATTTGATTTTTAATTTAAAGAAGGATTGTACCATACTTAAACAGGGACGGGTTTGGATTGAGATGCCCAGTGAACTCATGAATCACGTCCTGTCTAGTTAATATGTAAAATTAATAAATTCGATAATAATACACCCCAAAACTGAAGAAAAAACTTCGGTTAATCTAACCTCCTACTGCGAAGAAATTGAAGTCCTTGTTAGTAAATGATTTCACTGATCATCTCGTGAAATTGGCTATCGAATTCCTCTTGTTGAAATCTCTGCTGTTGTGGTGTTTCTTGGTGCATTATGTACAGATTTTAAGCCTTCATTAAATTTCTTTATTTCTATGGAATTATAATTGACTCCCATGTAAATTTTTATAAAGAAATGTTGCTTTTATTGCTCGATTTGCATTATCACATTTGATGGACATAAGTGAACAAAAGGAGTATGTGAAATAAATAAAACGGTACTACAGCTTTTACTTTGACATTTTTGTGCCCTTTTTGTAGGAATTGATGAAATCGCAATAGATTTGAAGAGCAAGAAACTCATGGTGGTCGGAACAGTCGACCCCGTCAGTGTCGTGAGCAAACTGCGGAAGAAGAACTGGCCAGCCAACATAATATCAGTAGGGCCAGCAAAGGAACCCGAGAAAAAAGAGGAGCCAAAAAAAGAAGAATCCAAGAAAGAGGAGCCGAAAAAGGAAGAAACTAAGGAAGAATCGAAGAAAGAAGAGGGAAAAAAAGAAGAAACGAAGAAAGAGGAGGGTAAGAAGGAAGAGGAGAAGAAGCCCGACCCTGAACCGATGGTAGGCATGGTAATGCCATATCGGCCTTATTATCCTTCCATGCAAACATATTACCATCCACATCACAGCATGGATGAAAATCCAAACGCATGCATCATATGCTAAGCCGGTTGGAAACTTAACCTATTTTTTTTCCCATTGGCTTTGGAATTCAATGGAATCGACGCAAACCTGAGACCGTTCTAGACAGTCAAACTCTGCTTACAGACAATGATACTACGATAATATTTTAAGATTTTGTGATATATAAAGCAGTCAATAAACTATTTGCCATCATTTTCATGTACAAGTCACCTTGTGTATGTATGAGTGGTTGCATTAATATATGGTTGGAAGCTTTGCTGGAAAGTTGCATTGTGCACGTAGTTTTCCTGATGAAGACAAAATCTGAGGGCATGCTTATGGTTTATTGATTGATTATGAATAGGACAAATTGCTTTTCAAGCCATTTAGATGTTTGTTCTTGTTGAATTGTTTGTTTAGATGTTGATCAGCATATACTGTTGGAGATTTTTGTGAATAGTGACGCCGAAATAAGTATAATGATGGTGACAAAGTCGAGGCAAGAGTTGGACTCTTTGTCCTTAAATCGAATTTGTCCCGCAATGGTGCTTACGGATTTCGGCAATCGACTTCCAAGATACAACGGTTACACTTGTGTTTGTAGCACTCCAAAACACAAGTACAACGAACCAAATTTAGGCTTATGTACTCCAAGGATGAAATGAAGGAAAATCAAAATAAATGAAATGATTTTGATTTTGGACAGAAGAGAGGATGAGAGACGTTTTGCATATCAAATTGTGTGGAATAGGACACCCAAAGGGTCCTATTTATAGACCATAAAAGGGTGTGGACGAAATGGTTGAGGCCAAACCATGCACCTTTTCCAAACAATGCACCTTTATGAAAAGGTGTCTATTCACTGATTTTCGTCATTTTTCTTTATTTCTCATTCATCCGATATTGGTTTTCGAAATGCCAAATATACCCTTCAATACATGCAGAGAAATCAAAATTCTCTTTCGGGGGCGTTGCCCCCGACCACCCACGAGGGGCGCTGCCCCCTCGACCTCCGCGACCTGACCGGGCAGGTCGATCCCTGTTTGTGCGCTCCGAAGCGGCGAAGTGGTAAACAATTTTACTTAAACGGATTGAGTCGAGCTTTTGAGTATTTGATCGAAGTCGATACGAACTTTAATCGATTTTTCAATTCTCGATTTATTTAACCAATATCCAACATATACTTCAGTGACGTGACGAACTTGTATTTTACTATATGATATTAAAGAGAAAAGAAAAGTTAAAATTTTGTTTATCATAGTGTTGGATAATTTTCTGGTCACTTTGCGTGATTTTAATGCATGGTTGCAAATTCTTACTCTCTTTACAAAATTTTGTTTATAGTTGATATTTGTACTTGTTTTAATTATAATTTAAGCTCCGAGTCTCACAATGTGGATAAAAAATAAATAAGTTGTGGGTTCATAGACTATAATGTGGATAAAAATGGGTTTGATCAGTCTAAATTATAATTTAAACTTTACTAAACATAAATTGTAGTTGGTGAAATAAGGATATGAAATTAAAAAGACACATAATTGTTGTTGGCAATTAAATTTTGCAGTTGATAATCCAAAATTTGGAAGTCCCTTTACTTAATGCTGGCATAATGTCACCTTTACATCATAAAAAATCTACGGACCTTGCGACATGTATATCAATGTTTATATAATGGATAACTTAATATCCACATGGCACTTTACAATTTATCAATTGAAAACACGATCAATTTTTTCTCTCCACGTCATTTTCAATAACCGCTTATATATCATTTTTATTTCTATGTGCAAATAGCAACATTATTTCAGAAAGGGCTCCTAGCAAGATTTAGGTTCAAGACCTTCGCATGTTCTGAAATTATTTGATATCAACATTGATGGGAAATTTAAATTTTCAAAAAGAATACATATTTTTGGCATTTAAAAAGTAAATACATTTATATATTTAAACTTAATCCTCAATACAAATAATATAAAAACTTTTATTTCACTTTCTCTAATGACATTTGGAGCTCTAAATCAATCGATTATACAGTTGTGAATTTAAGTGATCTATTTATTTTTTGATTAGGACAAAACCAATGGTCGGTCTAGTTGGCCATGACAAAGCAAACGACTTTAATAAGAGACCCCAAAAAAGGAACCGGGACGGTCAATCAAGTTGATCGTAGAAAACAACACTCTCTTATCACATCAAAAATAGAGAAAACGACACAAGATTCACTTGTAATTTGGTACATACAAAAGAAAAGAGACAAACCTAGGCTATATCAATCGTCTCACGCAAGCTCGATATAAATTAGCCAATTGAGAAGATAACTAATTAGAAATACTATCTCGTTTTTCTTTTCCTGACAAGAAAAAATAATTGACAGTAGCTATCGTAAAAACTAGTATTTTACTTTTCTAGAATACTATGAAAGACTTTTCACGTTGTCTAACAAAATAGCCATCATTGATCAATGAATTTTTAATTTGACGATGGGAATGAAATTATGCTCCATCTCCCCTTTTTATAGAAAAAAGAGAAATATTGATGTCTTTTTTGAATCGTCAAGACTGATGGGGCTCGAATCCGTAACTTCTACCTTGACGGGACAGTGCTCTGAATCCTTTAAAAATTGGGCTGTATATTTTTATTAATCTAAAACGATTAATATATGACACATTTTCTTGGTAGAAATGTAAAGCTCATTGATAACATATGAATAAAATGATATTATTAGTATCATATTGGCCATGTATATAATACTTTCTATGTAAATCCATGCTATCAGAATGCATCACGCTTCCTTAACTTCTTTTGGATAAACTTTGAATTCGTGAACGGATGCATATGCTTCAACCTCACAACTCAATAATGGCTTTTCATCACATGGAATGGCATGGTATACATGGATATATGTATACAATCACGTGTAATTTAGGGTCTCTTGGAAGTTGTTATGGTTCATCTAACAATTTCTTAGGTCACTCTAAGAAATTTTACTTTTATGAACACTTTATCTTGATCTCTCTCCTGAGATCCCCAACTAACCCGTTTGAGCCCCATCATTTTTCATTAAATTAAATTAAAATTTTCTCTCTCTTACTTTTAGCCACATAATTTTCAATAAAATAATATTACACGTAAATCAAAAAAATTTCAACCACTCATTTAAAAAAAAAAATTATTCATCTCATTATAATGCCAAATAATGGGGTTCAAACACACCATTGAAAGTGGATTATTTTTTATTTTTTAGTGGGTGTATATATGTATGTTGATTTTGTTTTTCATTATTATCCTATAAGCTAATAGTAGGGGTAGAGATGGCAATTGGGCCGAGCGGCTCATTGACTCGTCCACTCGACTCGTCAAAACGGGGCTCGTAAGTGGCTCAGGCTTGTAAAAATGCGAGCCCGAGCGCGGGTATGGACGTTGGGCGAGCCGAGCGAGAGGTGAGTTGCTCGTGGCTCGTCACTTAACGAACCACAAGCCTGGCTTGTGTGATAAAGTGACCAAAACGGTCACTTTTTTTTTAAAAAGTGACTGCTTTGGTAACTTTTGTCTAAAATAGTGACCAAAGGGTCATCGAAACTGATTTTTTTTGCTTTCTTCCCCCACTTTTATAAATACCTCCTATGAACCTTAATATTTTTCTATCTCAATTCTCATTTCTCAATTCTCTATTTATTAGTTTTGAAGTTTCAAGTTTCAACTCTCTTGTACAAAATATAAAATATTGATCATTTTTTTTACAGTTTATTTAATTTCAATTTCAATTAATCAAATTTTCATTTCTCACTATATTTATTGAAATTTCGTCCAATTCTTGTTTTTCAGTACATTTATATGTTTACTAATTATATTTGGATTTCATCACAATCAATCAAACAAATGGATCATCGCTCATTTGTTGAGAGTTTGTTCGATACGGGATGTGGGCCACATGGAAAATCGTCTAGGATACCACAAAGTCAATTTCAGAATGAATTTGTCTATCTAAATGACATATCCATATCTGACGATGATCACATTCACGGTCATGGAAGTCACAATTCAATTGATTTGGATGATATTAACGTTCCTAAAGCGGAATATGAGGACGAAGAGCCCGAATTAAACATCCCAGATGCTAGGGAAAAGTGAAAAGAGAAAAAAAAAAAGCAAAATGCTGGAATCACTTTAAGTTGATTTTAATGGAAAAAGTAATCAATGGCCTGGCAGAATCTAAGACAGTATTTATACTGCTAATAAAGATTGACATGGTAAAAAGGAATTTGTACTACCCATCTCAACCGCCACTACAAAGCATGTGCGGCCAGACATAGACTTCTTCCATCTGGTCAAACACAATTACAATTTGACAGTTCAGGTGCTGGTTATACAACTTCATCCCTATCCACATGGGTGTATTTGGATGAGAAAGCTCGAATCGAAATAGTGAAATTTTTTGCCGTCTATAAGTTGCCTCTGGCTATTGTCAACAAACAATACTTCGTCTCCTACGTGAAATAATATTTGCAACCAAGGTACGTTAAGTAAGTCGAAACACTCTTCGTGCCGATATAATACAATATTTCAATGATTCAAAACAACAATTCATTATAGATTTACAACAATATGGGGGTGTTTCTTGGTGCATTATGTACAGATTTTAAGACTTCATTAAATTTCTTTATTTCTATGGAATTATAATTGACTCCCATGTAAATTCTTATAAAGAAATGTTGCTTTTATTGCTCGATTTGCATTATCACACTTGATGGACATAAGTGAACAAAAGGAGTATGTGAAATAAATAAAACGGTACTACAGCTTTTACTCCGACATTTTTGTGCCCTTTTTGTAGGAATTGATGAAATCGCAATAGATTTGAAGAGCAAGAAACTCATGGTGGTCGGAACAGTCGACCCCATCTGTGACAATCCAAATTTTATAGTCAAAAATTCAAATATTGACTAGTCAAAGTCAAAGTCAATCAAGGACTAAAATGAAATTAAATATTTTATTTGGGTTATTTTTGCAATTGGCGAAATATAAAGGTTAAATTGGATATATTTAAAAGTTTGGAATTTATATATATATACTTTTGGAAGTTTAAGGATTAAAGGTTACTAAAAAGTGAAGTTAAGGGACTTAATTTGCAATTATGGGATTGTGGACAAATAAATTCAAACCTTTGACCCATTTTCTATTATTTCACACACACACACACACAGTGAATTTACGGGAGGAGGCAGAGACCGAGAGAAGAAGAGAAAAAGAGGAAAGAAGAAGGGAAAAAAGAAAAGAAGAAGGGAGAAGAAAAGGAAAAAGAAAAGGAAAGGAGGTAAAGTTGATATCTTCAAGTTGGGCTAAATTTTTTCCATTTGTTTTAGGTGATAAAGTATGAATTATGTTAAAATTTTTAGGGTTTTAACTTGTTGAATAATATGTCGAATTTTAGGGATATTTGCACGAATTGGAGCTCAAGTGTGGGGATTATTCATTTCAAATTTTCAGCAAGGTATGAAGATGTGAAATTTTTGGGAAAACCCTAGAATCCGAATTTGGGGGATTTTAATTAATTAATTGTGAAGTGATTAGGTAAATGAAGTATGTCATTTGGGAATTGATTTTATGGAACAAAGGTATATTATGTGGGTGGAATTGTGGTTACTAGTTTAATTAGATTGGAGATTTAAATTAGTTTTAAATTTGAAATGATGGTTATGTTGATCAATTAGTGATTAACCAAGGAATTATAAAGTGTAATTAGCTCCAACTAATAAAGGAAAATTTGAGAACTTATTTAAGTACCAAGAGCATTTAAATTATGTTCTATTATTAGATTTTAAGGTTTCTCGATTCGATAGTGGATAAATTGGTTATCATTATCGTATTTCAGGAGGTAGCGAGGCGATTGGAAACGTCTATCAGCCTATCTAGCTTGTAGCTCATACCTTGTGAGTGGATAAAACTTATTTTTCATAAATAAGTCTTCATTACATTTTAAAGTTATTTATTGTATAAAGTTGACATTATAGCATGATTTTTAGAATAAATTGGATTTTATTAACAATTGCTTTTAAAGTTAAATTCAGTTTAATTAAATCATTTGACTAGCATGTTATATGAATATAAAT